CAAGAGCGACTGCAGCTTTCCAATAACACCCGTAAGAGCAGCAAGAGCTTTCATTTGCTAAATCTTGATCAGAGTCAGTAAAATTTCCTTTGTTTATGCCTTCATCATGTAAAAAACTCATGAATCCTAAAATGAGCCTTCTGTATAGCAAGAGCATATTACTATATTTATGTGCATTTCCATCAAAAACCTGCAATGAGGGTCAATGCATCAGACTTCCCTTCCCCGCCACTCCGCCTCAGATTTGTTGAAAATGAGCTAGAAAATAGTTCACTAGTTATCTGAAGGAAAACCTGTTAATTTTGGTGGTAGATAATTGCTTGACTGACATTGAGCACTGATGTATCCAGGGCTTTGGAAATCATGAATTAATTTAAATCGGGTATGCATAGAGTAATTTCCACCACACAGTTTCATGTCATATTCATGTGTATTTTCCTAGAAATCCAACACAGCTTAATCATGTAAGTCTAATGTAGAACTTACTGTACCACAAAATGCTCCTAATAGGCAGTGTATTGAATACATTAAATACTGTGATGACTTTCATTCTCATAGTTCAAATATTTTATGAAAAGTGGCCATTTAGCAGATACCAGAGTGCTGAATGCTGTCCATAGATGACTTTCTCTAGTTTCACATCTGTGTAGTCCAAATCCAAGCAACATTTCTGAGTGAAGTAAAAGTATTCTAGAAGGAAGAGCTTATTATATCTAATAAGAGACAGTTGCTTTCAATATTGCATTCAGACCATATTGAGATTTACCTGGAACACTTTTATGACAAACGGCACAAAACTTGTGCTTATTAGATCTTGTCAGTCTTCCCTGGGGTCATGTTGTTTAAAAAGAATTTACAGGGAAGAAAAGAGAAAAGAACTGTTGGTGGAACGAATGCAAACTGCTTCATGAGACAGCTAATATTTACATGACTCTATATCCATATAACCCAAATTCCTTATGCTGTAGACAACTGGCATAGATACTCTTCTTTAAGCATACAGCTTTATTGAAAAATACTTCAGGTAATCTGTTTAAATGTTATGTAGGCTATTAAGAGCCCGATCCAAAGCCTATTGATGCCAGAAAAAAAAAAAAAAAATCCAAAGTGTTATATGCTGTGTATTTTGAGCAGTCTGAACTGTAATACTAATTTGGAGAAGCCAAATACAACCCTAAAAGACCATAAGAACCCAAATCCTTAAGAAGCACACTGGAGCAGCAGTTTTTGGTGAAGAGGGACACTGAACACTTACGTTCTTCCGAAAAATCAGAGCAGTCATTTTATTCATATGTGGAAACACAACCTCCCCACTATGTTTAATGTCACAAAAATGCTAACTGCTCATGGGAGAAATATTAGATCAATGCTAAAACACATCTGGGAAAGACCAGGGGAAACATTGCACAAGATCTGTAAGCACTTTGTGGAATATTTATTTGGCGCTTTTCTACAGTGTTTGTGAGTATTTTCTGATATTTCTGAAGGCACACTGGGAAAATGTTATGGGAAAATAACAGTCAAGTAGTAGACCATATGAAAAAAATCAACAACAAATAATAATGAGAGAAGCTAATTTATCCCCCCAGATAAATCAATGCAAAAGCAGAAATACACTGTGTGTAACAGTATTTCTTGCTAGGAAAGCGCAAGGCTAAGTTGTGTTTATCTCTATAATCAGTTTCCTTCATTATTACTCCCACCAGGTTGCTAGCTTCCAGGAGCAGATGAGAGAGGTATCAGTGTGTCCACACATTTCAAGAAATCTGCCAGTCTCCCATCTTCCTCCCTCTTGGCCTATCATTAACTTAATTCAGCTTTTGTGAATTTTCAAGAAAGCATTCCCTGTTTTAACAAAAACAGCTTGCATTCTGTTGTGCAGAACTGAGTGGCATTTAAGAAGTTTATATTGACTAGACTTGTAGTTCTCCCCTCTGATCTTATCACTTGAGATGTATTTCTTTATCACAGTTATTTTAGGTAGGATTATACACCCCTCTCCCCTTGTCCTGCCCCATGTGGGACAGTTTTTCCAAGCAAAGAGGAGAAGCAGGTTCCCCAACACAGCACCTGCCTCCACCTCTCCCCACTTCTTTTCTAAAACAGTTTTTTTTTTTATTTTAAAGTTTCCTCTGTAGGTTGCTCACAACTTTTAAAGGTATGTAGACCATATCTTGCAGCTTTCTCTGCTCTATTTTTTTTTCCAGGTCACTTTGATGTTGCCCTCCTGTGCAGGAACCTCAGTGTTTGAGAACAGACACAGTCTTTGTCCTCGTGACAGGCTTGACTCCAGAGACCAAGAACTTCTGCAGAATGCCACCAACAGTGTGCAGACACAGTTTGAGCATTAACATTTACCAGCCAAGGCCCCAGAAGGGTGTATATTCCAGTAAGAAGCCAACCCCTTGAGCAATATAAAAGGCCTGCCAAGGACAGCCAAGTAAAACCAGATGCCGTGGGTTGGAAAGATAGAGAATGGTAGGCAGTGTGAGATGAGAAAATAAGAAGAGGACAAGGAAATGAGTGGAGAAATGAAAGAAGAAACAAAAGAAGAGCAACAGGGAGACAACTGACATGGGCAGTATGGAAAAGCATATGACAAACTGGCTATATAGCAAAGTAAACGAAGGCAGGTGTCACTGCAAAAAGGAGAAAAGTTGATTTTAGACATATATGCCCAAATTACTGCTAGCTGTAATACTGTTGCCTACATCACGTGTAATTTAGCAGTTGGGATGTTCAACAAGAATGAATGATTGCCAAATGTTTGGAAAAATAAGAAAATATGAATCACAGTATTTGACTACAGAAAAAAATAAAACATCTGTGACCTTACCATTATTACCTACAGTTTTACCCTTACTTTTGCCATTGGCCTGAATGGTGCCATCCTGTGTGAATCTGTTTGTCCTCAGTAAATTCCTGATAATTGCATATGTGCTAACTTTACACAGCAGATGTCAATACTGTACTTTTCTATGATAACTGAGGCTAATACTAAGGGAATGGCAAATGCACTACTTAAACGAATTTCAGCAACTTGAAAGGGTTTTGCATATCTCCTGAAATAATTCCTAACACCAGTTCAGGACACTAACCTTTGCCTTTAGAATAGCTATAGTCAGATAAATCATTTAACTCTACCATCAAGGCTGTTACCTTTGGCTTTTTCCATTACTTTCTATCTTGTTATTCAATGACTTAAATCAGTCACTAGAACCTACTTCATCAAGCTTCAATAATCTATAAAACAACTATTTATACCATGATTTTTCACCAGTAAGTCCAGTTTTCTTTACAAATGTTAGGGAATTTCTCTTTACATTTGGGGGGGAGGGGAGGGAAGCACTGGAAGGCATAAAGCTATTGCAGAATAAACCCCACATCTTTAGGTAATACCTGCCTTCTGAACCAAATAAATCAGTCTTCAGAGACTGGGCTATAGGAACAGGCTTTGGAGCTTGAGTTACTCGGGGTTGTAGCAGTACATATCTGCTCTGACTGCACATAGCCAGAAACACAGTGCAGAGCAACCAGTGTCTTATATAAACATGTTGCAGGGAGACACAATGTCTCTAAGGTACAGTTCTGATGATCAACAGACTGGGTAGGAAAAGTACCTTCCATCCCCAATGTATAGCTGTTTAAGTAGCAAATGTCAAGAAGGTCCCTGCAGCACATTTTTGAATATGCAGAATGCTGGGTGCGGTCACAGTCCGCAAATGGTAAAGTTTTGCGTTGGCCTTAAGTACCACAGGTGAAGCCTCCCTGACTTTACGGCACAAGGTCCTTTTACAAAGAGCAGTTACTTTAACTGGAGTATGGAAAAATCTAGTTGTAGCCTTTATAAATGTTGTCTAATGGAAAATTAATTAGCAGAACACAAAGAGTAGGTATGGGAGCAATCTCATAACGTCCTCATTGTTATAAAGCAATGTGCAGACATACAGTGTAAGCCATTCTATTGAAAACAATCATCTTCCTAAAATAGCCTGCAGCAGCAAACAGCTACAGAAAGGGATTTGTTACCAATCATATAACACTCTGTACTAGTTACTAGTCAGATCTTCTCCTGATGTTTAGCAGGATTCTCTGCTCTGCTCTTTGGGAGAAAGCCTTGATCCTTAATAAACTGCTAAGATTTCAGCCTCATAGTTTAGCTACATGGTGAAAAACATGAGCTGCAGTGAAAGAGAAGGGAGAAGAGAAGCAATAACTGTGGAACTGCTATTGAGACTGTTTTCAATATTTTATTCCCAGTGCAACATCAATGGGAATTTTCACAGAGAGCTATAAAACTGGAGCAACTCTGATTAATTCTGGAGCTAGCCCTGTCAACTCATTTTTTGGAAAAAATAGGGTATGACATTAAAAGGATTCCTGTCCCCCTCTCAGCTGTTTTCCTGGAAGAAGGCTTGGTCCAAAGGAGCCACACAGTGGACCGGGGAGACTGGCATCTTTAGTTCATGGACCTCAGCTCTGTTTCTGACACGTGTCTGGCCAGCCTGCTGACAGCTGTTAAGTTTTCTCACCCTACTTCAGGCCCTGCAAGTGTCTCTACACTCCTTTATGTATATACTAGGTTTGGGAACAAACTGTGTAGGACATTATCTCTAGTAAAAGTATGAAAAACAAGTGAGAAAGTGACCTTAAATAGTGGAGTTTGTGGCCTCGTGGGTGTCCGTGAAACTGTTTAACCCAAATACAAATACAGATCTCCGAGGACACGAACACATCACAGCTCCCACACAGGACCAGCTTTGTTCTCCATAGGAGCCTCCTCACCTCCCAGAGAACATCAACCGCTCCCTCTGGAGCCTCCACCTGTTTTCTCCGCTTTTCTATATGACACCCCCAGCATTACCCAGGACAGAAATCTCCGTCCCCGTCCCCCTCATTATCAAAGCTGCCAGTCCCACTCACAGACACATGCCCTGGAGAGGGAAAATCAGCCAGATGCTGAATGGGGAGCACAGTCCTCATTTCAAAACTTGACTTACTTGGACATCCCTGACGGTCCTCTGCTCCAAACCAGCTTCACTTCTTTGAAATCCAAAGTTTCTGCCTCACTAGTAAGTCCTCCTGAAAACCCAAACAAATAAGAAACAGTCTCTTTCATGCTCTCGGTGACTTGTCCTTTATATTATTAGACCCAATTTTAAAAGTTAAGACCATTTTTATATTAATGTCTTTGAAAATTGTCCTTGGTTTATTTTTAATTAAAGTACAGCATTAGCAGTATTATTATCATTATTTAGCTAATTTTTCAGACAACACGTTTTCCTTCAATTTTTATGTGGCATCCTGGGTAATAATAGGTTTTCTTTTTCAAAACTAGTTATTTCAGAAATAAAAAAATGTAAGTATCTATTTCAATACAATTTTAAGAAAAAAATTGTGCAGAAAATATTTCTTCATAGTGATCCGTTTCTAACCTTTTACAGTGACAACAAATTTGACATTTCAAGGAGTTTTCATAAAAGTCTGCTTTTTTTTTTAGGTCACATCTAGAATTTATATTAAAAACTGTTTTGCCAAGAGGCTTTACATTCTGTCACTGACAAACGTAGCAGAGACTGGCAAAATAAAATGATACTACCTTTCTTCATTTTGGAACCTTTGTTAGAGTTCAGAAAAGATCTTAGAAACACCAACTATAGTTTTAAATTAAATGTCTAAAATGTTAATGAAATTTCAGGGCATACTTAATATTGCAAAACCACAAAGAAGAAAAGAAAAGAAAAAAAAAAAAAAAGAAAGGAGCTGGAAACTGCCTAGATCAAGACATTTGAAAAACAAAAATAAGGCGAAAACTGACACAGTTATGAGAGCTACACAAAATATTTTTCATTAGATCACGATAGCTGTGAATATTACTATTTAACAATGTAATCTGAATGGCTCTGGCACAGCATCTTGTGCAGTAGTACTACACTCAAGTTCTGTGGGGTTCAGAGCACAAATACAGATTCTAAAAGCTCCTGACACTCCACATCATTGCACAATTAGCAAGTTACATAAACCAGCCATAGTGGAGAGGCCTCGGGGGTCTCTGTACCTACTCAGCCATGGCTCCTGAAGAAATTTAGAGCTCCCAAAGGACCGTATGCATGCAAGGAAGATTCTTCATACCTTCAAGGGTAGGGGTTTTTTTTTTAAGAAAAAAGCCCCAAACCTCCTCACGTTTAAAAAAAGTACCTTTTGTCTCTTAACAGCAAAACTGGGTTTGTTTAATAGCTAGGATGTACCTTCTTTCTTTTTCTAAACTGACTGGTCTCCAGAACACACACAACTCCCATCACTTGCAACATTCTGAATTAAGAGTAAATATTGATGCATATTAATGAGAAAAACAATGTCTTGACCTAGTATAACCTTCTCATCATAAGATTTATTAATCCATCAACTGTCCAATTGAATTGGGACTAAATTCTTAAGATCTTTGATCATTAATAGCAATCAAAACTTTAACTTGCACCAAGATGTTTCCACAGTGGCTTAGTTGCCCAATCCTAGCACTGCCCTGGCAAAAATGTCACTGATTTAAGATCCCTGAAATATAAACATCAGATTTTCAGGATGAGATCTCTGGCTGCATGCACACTTCAGGTTTTCTGACGTGGGAAGTTTCCTACAGACATTTTTAGTTTCTAACACATGTAGAATCTGTGATCTTTCAGGTTCACTGTTTCTCCAGAATGTCCCTGTTACTGCACATCTCTGCATAGGCTGGGATGAACAGTCACAATACACCAAGCAGAACACTGATGTAAAATCTCCAATATGAAATCTTTTAACAATTAAGGTATATAGCTTTTTTGAGCTCTTGTTCAGCTCCCAGCGTTGAATGAAGAACACACATACTAAAGAACATTTCTCAACCTTTCCCACCAAAGCTCAGACCACAGCAAGACATTTTCAACCCGCATTGACAGTTTGATGCTTACCCTAGCCCGATCATACAAAGTTTATTTTAAGAAGGGTTAAACTTACTTTTATTACAGTATTTAAAAATTACATGCATTAATTACCATTCATTTTCTAAAACTGCACACAACTGCTTTCAAGTAGCACATTCCACGCACTCCCCTTATTTGCTTCTTTTCACCAGGCAAATTCTGTCATATCCCTGCTTTAACTTTGCAAAGACCTGCTACAACTCTCTACCCATGGCTTTGTTTTACCCCAAACCCCTTCCCAACAAGAAATAAGGAAATAACTCTTTGAAATCTGTGCTTACTATTTCTAAGTACTGGAATCTCCTTTTTAAAAATCTGCGTTTTAAAGCAATATAAATTCAACAGAAGATCCAAGAACACTGAGCTGAAAAGGCTTCTTTAAACCATCACCATTTTCTAAAATACCTTGACTAGCAAAAAAAAAAAAAAAAAAAAAAAAAAAAAAAAAAAAAAAACCAAAAACCTCAATTAGGATCAAATTAAAGGTCATCAAGCCCACAATCTTGTCTCTGAGAGCAATCAGCTGGGGATACTTATCTTGCACAGATAATAGCATGGTCTGTTTGAAGGGATTCTCTCCCAGCTTCTGGCAATCAGTAATTTAGAAACTTCTAGAGACAGAGGTTGGTAGCAACAGTTGATGTGTCATTTGAAGATGCTTTGTGTCCTCCCTGAACCCACATACAGTTCTAGTCTCTACAACATCCTGCAGTAGCACTCAGCAAGCAAAGCAGCATTCTCCTAACCTTTTTTCTTTCTCTTTTGGGGCTTACCTGACCAAGAATTTTTTACTTAACTGAGCAGGTTTTCCATAAAGCGTCTGGTTTTGAACCAAGACCTATGTTTTAAAATGGAATCTTAATTTACAAAAACCTAAACAGTGCTGTAAATACATAAGCAGGGCAACTGTTTACCTAAGAAATAGCGGATGATCACAAAAGCCTGCTTGTCAAATACACCTTGTGCAAGTATTAAGAACTGTTTATTTTGGAAAGGGTACAAAAGCGTTCTGAGATAAAGCAGTGTTGCTGATGTGGAAAAAATGGAGCATTCCACATTATTCACAGTCATCCCACCAGTATGAAAAGTGAGTTAATTTCCATTCCTGTTCTTGAAAACAGGAATATTTTTCACATTTTAAGAGAAAGGGTTGGACTTAACGGCTTTTGGAAATACTTATATGTGAACACACAGTCCCGGATAAATACAGCTTCACCTCTTTTTCATGGGGCCAGACTGTCAATTAAGGGAAATCCAAAGGCTAGCAGATTTGTCAGCTAAATACAATCCCAACCACACCTACCCCTGCAAAATGTCGCAAGTGTGAGTACTGACAGGGCTGCAACAGCCAGGTGTGTGGAAAATGGGGAAAAGATGCTCAGCAATTTGTGTTCACTGAGCGCTCTCTGTTCTCTGAGAAGTAGACTGACCTCCACTATTAATGAATTCATCGTACGAACTCCTACAGAATATGCCTCTAAATTATGGCTTGCATTTTATGTCCCACCCATTACCACTGAGTTAATTACAGTCTGGATTTAAACATTATTATTACTTACGACGTGTAAGATGTGTGAAAGGGAATTAGGCGTATATAATGTCAGTTCTCTCTCTCTAAATTGTTTAAATAAGGGAGGAAAAGACAAAGAAATTATATAGTACAGGATGTGGTGTCTACATCATAATTTGATACCTATTGCACGTTTCTGTATTGCTGAGGAAATTCAAAGATGCAGCATTTGTGGCCATAGGACTGGATACCGAATGCCTTCTGGTATATAGCTTCCACTGAAATTTGGAATCGTTGTGTAGTTTCAGGCGAGCAGTGGTCAGGTCTGGGCCTCAGTCTTGTACTCAAATCTCAGGCTTACTCATAAAAAGCAACTGCTCACCAAAACTGGCTCCAGTATCAAGTGAAGAATGGCTCAGGAAAAGCAGAATTCAATTTCTAGCACTCAGCTAAAGACTTACTGAATTACAACAGGCACTTCTATTTCCCGCATTTCATTAAGCCCAGCCTTAAAACATGGCTAACTCTCCCTTACCACAGAGGATTGTTCGTAATAAAATGTATAATAAATAACTTCAAGACTCTCAGATATTGTAGTGGTGAATTAATGTAACTATTCAGACAAAGAGCACTCAACACAGCTTCCTAAAAAGCACCAGAAAAAAAGAGCATTATTTTATATTTACCTATATCCACATTAATACAGGAATGTGTACTTATAGCCAAAATTTTTGTGGACGTTGCCTCTCAATTATTCATAAAAAAAATATAAATTTTACTCTGACTTTACTTATGTGAAGAGATGAAAAGGAAGCCAGTTATGAAATAGGCTCAAATGATGCCAGTCCTTCAAGTATGTGTCTGGAAACAGCGAGATTTCTGAGGCAGTAAAGTAGCTCTTAAGCAGATACACAAAAATATGTATGGAACATCAAGAAAGGATGCTCATGTGCTATCATGTACTTCTTGATTAAATCACAGAAACATAAAATCACAGAATGGTTTGGGTTGGAAGGGCCCTCAAAGCCCCCCCAGTGGCACCCCCTGCCCCGGGCAGGGCCCCCTTCCCCCAGCCCAGGGGGCTCCCAGCCCCGTCCAACCTGGCCTTGAACCCTTCCAGGGAGGGGGCACCCACAGCTGCTCTGGGCACCCTGGGCCAGCGCCTCACCCCCCAAACAGGGAACAATTTCTGCCTTACATCTAATCTGAATCTCCGCTCTTTCAGTTTCAAAGCCATCCCCCCTTGTCCTACCACTACACACCCCTGATCAAGAGAGTCCCCCCCCCCCTCTCCTGTCCCCCCTTTAAGCCCTGGGAGGCCGCTCGAAGGGCTCCCCAGAGCCTTCTCTTCTCCAGGCTGAACCCCCCCAACTCTCTCAGCCCGGCCCCCCAGGGGAGCTGCTCCAGCCCCCCCAGCATCTCCGTGGCCTCCTCTGGCCCCGCTCGAGCAGCTCCGGGTCCTTCTGCTGTTGGGGGCCCCCGAGCTGGCCCCAGCACTGCAGGGGGGTCTCCCCAGAGCGGAGCAGAGGGGGAGAATCCCCTCCCTGGCCCTGCTGCCCCCCCTGCTCTGGCTGCAGCCCAGGGCACGGGTGGGTTCTGGGCTGCGAGCGCACGGGGCTGCCTCATCTTGAGCTTCTCATTAACCAACACCCCCAAGTCCTTCTCTGCAGGGCTGTTCTCCAGCCACTCCTCGCCCAGCCTGGATTTGTGCTGGGGATTTCCCTGACCCATGGGCAGGACCTTGCATTTGGCCTTCTTGAATTTTATGTTCATGATCTTCATGTTTCTTCGGAAACAGAGGGATTTCATTCAGATTTTTGAGGCACCTTGTTCTGTTGCAAATATACAATTTACTTCTAAACATCCATTTTAATATTGTATCGATGTTCTACTTGTACATGTAAACCCCTGAAATCCTAGCTCAACTGCCAAGCCAGTCTAGCCTTTTGCAAAATACTTAATATAAATGTCATATAAACCATTATCATTATGAACCATCTCTACTGTGGTTGATATGGACAAGTACAAGACGGACATTTTATTTGGTCCACGTTCACCAGCTCGTCTGTGTATCTTCTATTAATATAAACTTATATTTCTACCAGCAGTAAAAATAAAGGATTGAGTCAAGTTTACCTGAATTTTAATGATGATGGGAGCTACACAGATAGAGAAAGAAAAACATGTAAAATATACATAGTACAAGAAAGGCCATAAAATGTCATAGAATAGAGAAGATCTAGACATTTTAGATATATTTTAAACATACTGCACACGTTCTAAATACGCTAAACATTTTTAGAATATTCCCAGGACCACTTTGAATTTCAGTTTCCAGAAGGCTCCACCTCATGAACTGAGTGCCTGAGGAGACCAAGTTACATTGGACATGTCCTATTAACCTTGGGGGTTTTGTCAGAATCAAATAAGGCAGAAGAATGACACGGATGATTGCCATGATTCGACTCTTTCTCTGCATTACCTCATGGACCTAACGGTTTCTACTTTTTTAAAAGCAAACTCATGTAAAAAATCAGGTTTCTTGCAAAGATCTCACAATCAAGTGTAAAATGATGCTAACCTTTATGAACAAAAGGCAAATGAAGATGGATAAGTACTTCCAGTCAAACTGCATTTTGATTTTCTGTGAGACTGGAAACATCAGAGCTGCGGGGGGAAAAAAAAAAAAAAAAAAAGTAGACTGAATGAAAACTGCTGCAAAAACCTTTGTTTCGCAGACTTTTGAGAGTTGGCATTGTGTCTGTGCTACATCGCAAAGGACAAACTGACATGCCCTCACCCTTCTTATGACAGGACAGCAAAGTTAAATGACAGAGCTCTAACGGCTCAGTAATGGTCCCACCCCAGTGCACTACCTCTGATGATGGGAGAACTGACTAAATAAAAATGACCTTCCTTAGCTGTGGCAATGTAATTTCAGCCCTGGTGGCAATACACTGGAAACCAAACCTCTTTTCAGTTTCAAACCTCAGCCTTTGAAAATAACATTAAAGGCTCATGTTGAGAGGCTGCTTTTTAAACATTTTTTTTCAGGGGAGAACGGAAATGTAAGTGTCTCCAGTAGGGAAAGCTCCATTTGTGCCTTCTCCCATGGATATCGGCAGCAGGGAGAGGGGAACTTCAGTTCCCTGTCAGCACTCCAAACTGTAGTCTAAACGCAAGACTGCAGTGGCCTTCAAAAGTTTTCATGTATAAATAAAGTATCTATTCCTACGTAAATGTCACAATGAAGTATATCACAGAATTCAGCACACCATCTGCCTAGCCACGACTCCAAATGAAAATGTTATTCACGTTCTTGCCCTTATTTTCCATCCAAATATTTGTATAGTTTCAAATAGCCTAAGGAACCCGGTACCTACGTCATTCTTGTTGAGATCAATAAAAACTCTGCCTCTGGCTTCAATGGGAATGGCCTCAAGCATCCCATAGTGACAACTCTGAAATACTAAATCAAAACTGCTACAGCTATTGTTGAAGGAAGTAATGTGTTTCTATTTCTGTTTACAACCATCCTGAATGGATGAGGCACTTTATAAACTCATGTAAAGAAGGTCTTAAGACGATGATCACACAGGGCGCCGCTCATTTAGAGCAGTTCTCTTAAAACAGCCTATTCAAAACCAGTTGCGTTGATGGATTTCCCCATCAGATGTGGTCTGATACAGCAGCTACCGAAATGAACACCAACACTCAAGCCGCTCATCTGTACCGTGTGCATCCCCAGATCGTATAATTTCAAGCTTTATTTCAGATAAAATGCCCACGGAAAAGAATAGATGCCGTAACTAGTAACAGCTATCCGAGCTTTTGTGACAAACTGTGGGACAAGGGTGTCTTACTAGTGAAGTGCACCGACACTGCTGACGAAGCACGGAGAATCAGCAGAGTCCGGGGGGTTGGAGGGAGGAAGGAGATGCAGCATTGCAGCAAGGGAGTGGGTAAGAGGGACTGGTGAGAAGAGGAATCCTGAAGAGGCAGAGATGAGAAAGAGGAGAAAGGCAGTGAAGCACAAGAAGAAACCATGGGAATAACTAGTATAGATCAAAAAGAGTCATTAGAAAGTCAGTAACATACATGTATTAATTAAACTTTACCACCATGGCCCTGGACTGCGCATGACCTTCATATGGAGTTAACAGAAAACCTATACACACAGTTCTGTATTACATCTTTTTTTTTTTTTTTTTTTTTTTTCCCCCTAAAGGAACAGATCTGTAAAAAATTTCTTAGCTAGGTATAAAACCCTAAATATGTGATGCACACTTTCTTCAGTAGGGCGATGTACACAGCCAAAAGCAACCTTAAGCTTTATGGAACATTAATAATTAGAATGAAATGAGCACTACAGATGGAATTCATATTTGAAAAGTGAAAACCCTTAATAGGGAAAACTACTTGCCTGAGACTGAACGGGGAACACCGTTGTGTAACCACTAGCCTGTTACCTTCTAAAGGTCGCTAACAGACAAATAATTATCCCAGACGTTCAGAAAATCACTTTACCATGATATAATAGGTGTATACTGGGGGCCATTTGAAACTGAAGTTTCTAGTTGGGCTTCTGCTTTGCCATAAAGTAAAACACATTAAAAGCACAATTGAGCTGGTATGTGGCTTTAGCGCACGTGAGAATTCTGCTCCACCGTCCACAATGAACAAAGCCGTTCTCTTTTATTGTTTTTTTTTTTTTTTCAGTACTTGAATATCTGCCTTGTAAGAGAAATTGGTTTTGCCTAATGCTATGTCTGGTCCTTCAGGTGTGGTCTGGCTAGTTTTTTCTTTTTTTTTTTTTTTTTAATAGCATATTCTGGAGTGCTTTTAAACCATCTCCAGGCACAAACAGATACCAAAAGTGGTAACCTTTGCTGCTCTCCCTCCCTCACATCCCAGCGGCGTTGGCGGGACGGTGACAGGCTGGGCGACCAGAGAACAAACCGCGTCCCTTTCCCTTCCCACCCCCCCCCCCCCCCCGCAACGCTCCTTCTCCCAGCGACTCGTCCCGGGTGTCTCCCCCCACCCCGCGTTAGACGTGAGGGGTTTATCCGCCCCGCCTCGCCTTTCCTCACCCCGCTCCCACTCATCCCCCCCCGCCGCCCCACGTTACCTGCCACCGCGCGGGGATGGGACACACACACACACACACACACACACACACACACGTTACCTGCCACCGCGCGGGGATGGGACACACACACACACACACACACACACACACACACGCCGGAGCCCTCACCCCGCCCGCCTCTCCCCGAAACAAAGGCACACTTATCTCTCGCTGCGCCGCGGACCCGCGTGGGGAGAGGGGGGGGGGGGGGACGGGACACACACACACGGGACAGGGACCCCCGGGGCGTCCCGGGTGGGCGGGGCCGGGGGCGGGGCGGGCAGCGCGCGGCGGCGCTCTGCGCAGGCGGCGGCGGGGAGCGCGGCGCGAGGAGGGCGCGGAGCGGGGCGGGCGCTCCGCGGGCGCGGTGGGGTTCCCGGTTCCGCTGCAGGGCGGCGGGGGTGGCTGCTTGGTACTTATTTATTATTATTTTTTTCTGCCCGTCCCGTCTCCGCACTTCGGTTACTTTGGCTTGGGCTTCCCCCCCCCCCCCCCCCCCCGTTTTTTTTTTCTTGGTTTTTTTTTTTTTTTTTTTTTTTTGCTTGTTTTTGGCAAAGCGGAAGGAAGATGGGGTTCGAGCTGGATCGCTTCAACGGGGACGTGGACCCCGACTTCAAATGCAACCTGTGCAACAAAGTTTTGGAGGACCCGCTGACCACCCCCTGCGGCCACGTCTTCTGCGCCGGCTGCGTGCTGCCCTGGGTGGTGCAGCAGGGCAGCTGCCCCGTGAACTGCCAGCGCATCTCCACCAAGGAGCTCAACCACGTCCTGCCCCTGAAAAGCCTCATCCTCAAGCTGGACATCAAGTGCGATAACCACGCGCGGGGCTGCGAGGCGGTGGTGCCGCTGCAGCACCTGGGCGAGCACGCCGAGACCTGCGACTTCTCCCCGGCCAAGTGCCGCAACCGCGGTTGCCGCCAGGTCCTCAACCTCCGCGACGTGGAAGCGCACATGCGGGAGCGCTGCGAGGCTCGGCCCGCCGGTCTCTGCGAGCAGGGCTGCGGTTTGATGCTCACCCACGGCGAGCGCCGGGCCGGCGGGCACGGCTGCCTCCGCGCCCTGCGCGCCCACGGAGCCGCGCTGCAAGCGCGGGCGGCCGCGCTGGAGAAGGCGCTGAAGAAGGAAGCGCTGCGCGCCGGCAAGCGGGAACAATCGCTGCTGTCGCGACTGGCGGCGGCGCAGCTGGAGCTGCAGGTGACGGCGCTGAGGTACCAGAAGCGTTTCACGCAGTACAGCGCCCGCCTCGACGCCCTGGCCCGCGCCCGCGCCGCCTCCCCCGGCAAGGTAAGGGCCCGGCGGCGGCGGCGGCCCGCCCGCCCACCCGCGAGAAGGGTTTTCCCCCCCTCCACTCGCGGGGAGAAGAAAGCCCCGAGCGGCCCTCAGGCCGCGGGAAGGGCACGGAGGGGCGGCCGAGGGACACGTCCTCGCGTGTGGGTGTCTGGGGAAGGGAGGGTCGTGTGTGTCCCGTCCCCCCTCCCGGCGCCCTCAGCCCTGAGGGAAAGCGGGGGGGGGGGGTGGGGGGGGTGGCCGCGCTTTGGGAGCCCGTCCGGCCCCCAGATCCTTTGAAATACTCGAGCTTTGGCTTTTAATCGCCGTAACGTACCCGTTTCCAGATACATACTTTTTCTTCTAATGTGACCGTCATCGGTATCTGGACCCCATATGGCAACTCACACATCAAAATACCAAGGTCGCGGTATTACTGGTTTTTTTTTTTCAAGTTTCTCTCCCAGAAGAAACCTCTAAACAGCAAAATTGGAATTTCCAGGGCTGGAAATGGTATTAAGCCACCAGAAATCAACTCCCAGGAGTAACACAAAGCGGAGTGAATTGGAAGAGGCTGGTGTGACCCAGACCCTTAGCTCACCTAGCGTCCCCGAACACGGCTTCCTACAAAATGCAGTCTTTAGGATTAACTGTTACACAACTTGGACACCCTGCCAACTATTTCATGATGTGAAGCCATCACCTTTGTAATGTTCGTGTCCAAATACAAGACGTCTGCTGTGTACTTGCTTTTTTTTTTTTTTTTTTTTTTTTAATCCAGAGTCACACAGGGTTCTTCAAACGCTCAGTTTAGGAGGAGAAAAATTGACTTCAGCCCCTCAGAATTAGACCGTTTATAAAATGACCAGAATCAAAAGCCAGAGCTACAACAATCCCTAAGTTTTAATTGGAATGAGGCTCCCCATCGAGGGAAGCCCTAGAAGCCAATTATCTTTTAAATGAAGACATTCAGAGTCCTCCCCGTGACCTGGAATGTGCTACCATAGACACAGCAGTACTAAACTGTTCAAAACTGTCAAACATCTGTATTCACACCTTTGGTAATGCTGAGGCTTTAAAAGCTGTGTAAAGGAAACTAAACTTCATGTTAGAGTCTCTCTCTCTTTTTTTTTTTTTTTTTTTTCTTTTTAGAAATCCAGGGCAAAACAACCCACCATGTTTTGCTAACTCAAACCAGAATATTTTAATACTGAATGTACTGCTTCAACTTCTGACAATACGGGGTGTGGTGCTGGTTAAAATCTTAGTAAAACTACTAAAATAAATGGGGAGTTCACATTCACGTCGAGATCCAGGACAGTTCTCTTCTGTCTCCTCCTTTTCCCGCAGCCCCTGTACTTAGCAATGGCATGCTGCAGAGCTTTCTCCTCCCGCAGCTTAGCACACAGCTGCCTCTGCTCCCTCTCGCATTGCTGGTGGTTGGAAAGCCTTCCATACAGCCCTGCTGTTGGAAATCATCTCGCTGAATCTCTACCTCCTCGTCTCTGATCTGAACAGCACCCCTTTATTCCCACACTGCCCTTCCTGCATTTCTTTGCAGCTAGTGTTGATACTGTTGTTTTTGCGTTATTTAGCTCTGTAAAGTGTCATGAGCTGCTATTAGCGTGAAAGGTGCTACTTCAGATGGTTGTAAATGTGCATGGTACACAGTTTCCAGCAATACTTTTTATCAAATTTATGGATACAGCTGGCCAAGACGACTGCGCTCATTTTCAGCCGTATTACAAAAGGCTGTTATACAGTTTTCTGAAGCAGTGCCTAATCTGAAGAAAGCTGGAAGGTGTCATGTCACCACAGACTTGTGGTCTAGCGGTCAATCAATTACATGTCTTTCACAGCATTTTGGGCAGCTTTCCAATACTAACAGCTTCAGTCTGCCCAGCTCCCAAAGAAGTACAATCAGGAAACTTGCATCTTTGTGCGCTAGAGAGTTTTTTAAAAGACCCATGGTAATCACCTAGTGCAGGGGATGCTTTACCAATTTTGGGCTGTGGCATGCTTCCAAGTTTTTACTCGGGGGTTATTTTCTCAGAGGCACTAACAGAGACTCTGCAGTGCACGATGCAGACTCCAGCACTCAGCAGGGTGTGCGTACTTGCCTAAGGGTTAGGTCCCTGAACACATGGATTACATGTATGATAATGTGGAATAACTGATTTCAATTTCAGAAGCAATTGCATATTCAAAGCCTGCAGCAACTTTGCTGTCATTATTTAATTATGATCATTATTCATATTTCATGTGTTTTGTTATAAGATGTAATTGTTCAGTTTATGTTAAAACACAAGTAGGCCTAGCACCACCAAACCGGGCTCATAGGTGAGATGTGGTGATTGCAAAACTTACTGTAGGATGTTCTGGCTCCTCAGCAGATGAATGAAAAGGATCTTCTGACTTCCCTGCTTGATGGTCGCTTGTTGCTACTGATGTAGAACCAATCTAGAATAAATCAGATGACATATCCTATAGTCAAAACAGAAGAAATGTCCATGTCCAGTTCTGTTTAAATGCTTAGTTAAAGGGGAAATGCGGTGTTGAGGGATGTTAGGCCATTCGTGAAAGACCCAAATTCATGGTCTTTTGGCTGGGGCAAACTTTTTCAGCAGCTTTGGGGACCCAGGTCTACATTTGCCTTAGCATAGACTGCTGTTGTGATACTGGATGAATCACGTAACTTTTCTATGCTTCGATCTCCCATTCCTAAAGTGAGTTTTATAACACTGCCGTGCCTGTATTGAGAGAATACATACATAAAATGTTTTATGCACACATCTGTAAATATCTCACAATTTTCTAAGTCCCTTAAACAGATAGATGTGCTTTCTGTGACGCCAGTTGTGTTTTCCATGTATATTCTTTTTTTGCCATTGAGGGAACATTTTCATTTTACTGTGAATTTACGGGAGGTCTGATCCATGTTTATTCCAAAAGATAAATTTGAAGGTTTATTCAGAGAGTGACTGTTTATTCCTTGGTGGGAAGAGGTGAGGCTTATTGTGGACGAGTTTGAGGAGGGAGTGGTAGGGAAGCTGGTGTGTCTTACTCAAAATTAGTATTTCCTTTGATCAGACATGTCAATCCTGAAACATCAAAGCCTAAATAATCTAGAAAAACCTTGTACTACTCAAACAATGCTTAATCCTTGTGGAAACATACCACTGTTCACACCTATTGATAAGCTGATCTGGTCATTCCTTTATGTACACAGCCATCAAAGTCCTTTGGGAAGAAATGAGTAAGGGAGAATCAGGAGCAGTTCATGGTGCTGGCCGCAGCCGGCGGTGGAAGTCCCTCTGCTGTCCTAACAACCCAAGGCAGGGACGGACTTTCAGTACATGTCTCAGGTGTACAGGAACCAGTTTACGATCCGGTATTTAGAACTTCTGGTTTAATACCTCTGTGGAGGTGGTAACACAAGTTTTAATTCTCCAAAAGCCAGATGCGGTCTTTTAAAACAAGATGATACATTTTCTCAGACTGCCCCCAAGCAGGACCCGCCGGGCTGGTCCTGGCAGCCCTTT